TGTTGCTAAGGTGTTTTGGGTGGTTGCTAAGCAGTTGCTAAGGTGTTCTGGGTAGTTGCTTGTTGGTGCTAGATAGTTGCTGTGCTGTTTCTAAGGTGTTTTGGGTGGTTTCTAGGCAGTTGCTAAGAATTTGGTGTCAGTTGTTATGGAGTTGCTAGAGTGTTCTGGGCAGATGCTAGTTGGTTGCTGGGTAGTTGATACATGTTGCTGAGGTGGTCTTGGTGGTTGCTAGGCAGTTGCTAAGGTATTGTAGATGGTTGGCTATGCTGTTTCCAGGTTGCTCTGGATAGTTGCTAGTTGGGTGCAAGATAGTTGCTATGCTGATGCTAAGGTGTTTTGGGAGGTTGCTATGCAGTTGCTAGGATGTTGTGGGTAGTGGCTTGTTGGTTGCTAGGTAGTTGCTATTCTGTTGCTAAGGTGTTTTGGGTGGTTGCTATGCAGTTGCTAAGGTATTGTAGGTGGTTGCTATGCAGTTGCTAGGGTGTTTTGGGCAGTTGCTAAGTTGGTTGCTAGGTTGTTACTTTCGTGTTGCTAAGGTGTTTTGGGTGGTTGCTATGCAGTTTCTATGGTATTGTAGGTGGTTGCGATGCAGTTGCTAGGGTGTTCTGAGTGATTACTAGCATTAAAGTCTCCCCCTACTCCTCTTTTTGGCCATCTCTGCCTGCTGAATCATAAAGACGGGGGCAACGATGTTCTTATAGTTTAGTGTATGAGCGCCTGATCTCCAGATTTAATTACAAGAATAATAACTTCATGATAAAAGCTCATATTTAACTAAATTGTGTGTTAGTGTGTCGCAGATGTGCAGTTTAAGAAGTCACAGCTACATTGTATTCATTTGTTGTGTGTGTGTTGTCCTCAGGTACACCAGAGTTCATGGCCCCAGAGATGTATGAGGAGCATTATGACGAGTCAGTGGACGTGTATGCGTTCGGCATGTGTATGCTGGAGATGGCCACTTCTGAGTACCCTTATTCTGAGTGTCAGAACGCTGCCCAGATCTACCGCAAAGTGACCAGCGTGAGTCTGCATCTCACAGAGGGACACACACACACACCCACATACAGGCACACCCACAAACAGACACACCCACATACAGGCACACCCACAAACAGACACACCCACATACAGGCACACCCACAAACAGACACACCCACATACAGGCACACCCACAAACAGACACACCCACATACAGGCACACACACATTCTGAAATCTGTCACTGCATGCTCATAAACACGGAAACACACGGCACAAGAAGCCCGCTTATTATTTATTATTATTTCCTGCATTGTCATGCAATATCTCCTCAAGCAATTCCACAGAAGCTCAAGCCGCATTTTCCACATCATTCCATCACTGTGGTTTAGTAACGGTGTTGATAATAGTTTACAGTGTACTGTAGCAGGAATCTAGTTTAATCCAGCCTGCTTGTGTAATATTAATCCTTCTATATAAAACATTATTCCTCCTGTGAAATTCTTTTAAAATATTTTAGAGATTTTCTTCAGCACATTTGTGATCACAACAGTGTTAATAACTCATCTCTAATAACTGATCTATTTTCTCTTCTCCATGATGACAGCACATAATATTAGACTAGATATTCTTCAAGACACTAGTATTCAGCTTAAAGTGACATTTAAAGGCTTCACTAGGGTAATTAGGGTAAAGTTAGGGTAATTAGGCAAGTCATTGTAGAACAGTGGTTTTTTAAAATTTAATTTAATTTAATTTTTTTATTTATTTTATTTTGTTTTGTTATATATTTTTTGTTTTGTTTT